GCCCGGCCCCGCCCCTCACCTGCCCCGCCTCACCTGGGCCTGGCCCCTCACCTGCCCCGCCTCACCTGGCCCGGCCCCGCCCCTCACCTGCCCCGCCTCACCTGGGCCTGGCCCCTCACCTGCCCCGCCTCACCTGGCCCGGCCCCGCCCCTCACCTGCCCAGGTGCGCTCGGCGCAGCCGCACCTCCCGTCCCGTCCCGTCCCGCAGATCCCCCGGACCCCGCACGGGACCGGGGCCGAGCGGAGCTCCCCGCATCCCCGCCCTTCTGCCGCGGTCCTTTTCCCGTCAAACGGAATGTTTAGGGAACTTCCAAACGGGATTTTTTTCGCCCCCCTGGTAAATGGAGTGTTTAGGAAAGGAAGTTTGCTTTTTAAGCGGGATATCTTTGCCTTTTAAATGGAATGTTTTGGGAAGAAAGCATTAAGTTCCTGGGCTTTTTCGCAGTTCAAAGCATACTCGGCTGAGTCATAGAATCACGGAATGATTAAGGCTGGAAAAGACCTCGAAGATCATCGGGTCCAAACATTAACCCAGCACTGCCGGGTCCGCCACCAAACCGTGTCCCTCGGCACCACATCCGCAGGGTTTGGAGCACTTCCAGGGACGCTGGCTCCCTGCTTCCCCGGGCAGCCTGTTCCCATGCTTGTCCATCCTTTCAGTGAAGAAATTCTCCCAAATATCCGATCTAAACCTCCCCTAGCACAACCTAAGTACGTTTGCTCTTGTCCCACATCCATCCATCCATATAAATCCATATCCAGGCAATGATAACACAGGATGAAGCCAAACCCTAAAGGCAGCTCTGATTGAAGCCACAGGCACAGTTTTTTCTCTGAAAAGCATAAAAATGTCCCTCTTCCCTGGCTCCATCCCCGCTCTGGGGTCACACCTACCCCTGGCAAGGGGCTCAGCTGCTTCTCCTGGTCCCTCCGCAGGCTCCTGCCCTCCAGCCTCGCGTCTTATTTATTTTCCTCGTAGGTGGAGAAGCGTGACTCAGTGGTGAATCCTGGTTTCAAGGATCATACAATGCTTCACATTTCAGTTTCAATGAACCAGAAAAAAAAATGGGAATTTCCCTTCTCCTTCTCACCACGAACACGGTGGAAAATGCTGAACCCTGACTTTGGGCAGACTTACACCCACAGCTCAGTCCCCAGCCAAGAGACTGGAACTGGACAAAATCTTGGAGATATTCACACAGAGACAAAACAATTCACCGTTTTTCTGGGCAAGTTTGCCTTGCTGGATACCAAGTGCAAGGTAAATATTTCAGCCTTCATTCAGCATGGAATTCCACTCAGATTAAACATGCAGGAGTTTGTCAGCACATCAGAAAATCTTTCTGGCAATTAGCAGAATAGCAGATGTGGCACTCCGGGGTCAGCGCTCTCTGTGCTGGGTGAGATGGGTTACCTTAGTGGTACCTGACCCTTCCTGATGTGTAAATCCAGGGACAGCTGCTCCTGGAGGAAAACACCCCTGGCATTCCTGCTGTATAAAGCATGCAGTGGTAGGAAGTTCTGGGAGCAGCCAGGAAGAGACACAGGCAGATATTGGGCTGAACTCCAGGCCAGGCTCTGAAGGATCTTTGATCTCTCCTCAGACAGGCCAGCACAAAAGCTCCCTGCATTCCTGCTGTCCACACCCCTGTCCCACAGGGAAAGGTCAGGACGCTCTGGGCTGGCTGTGGTTGTGGTGGGCTGCTGGGAGCTGTGCAGGGACAGCAGCACTGCTGGGAGCTGTGCAGGGGACAGCAGCACTGCTGGGAGCTGTGCAGGGGACAGCAGTGCTGGGAGCTGTGCAGGGACAGCACTGCTGGGAGCTGTGCAGGGACAGCAGTGCTGGGAGCTGTGCAGGGGACAGCAGCACTGGGCAGGGGACAGCAGCAGTGTGCAGGGGACAGCAGCACTGTGCAGGGGGACAGCAGTGCTGGGAGCTGTGC